GAGGGGGAGAGAGCTAAAACCTTTAATTTTAAAGATAGCAGAAAATAGTAAAAACTAGAACAAATTTAAATGGATCATAAGGGAGAGAAAATGATAGGGTGATAAATTGTAACCTAACTGCATCTGCAACAATCTACTTTCCAGTGCATTCTGCATAATAGCAAGGCTATTCACATACCTGGTTCATGGTCAGAGGGGTTTCACCAGGGGTTTAATCCATGTGTATCTCTCCTTCACCTCCCCCCACCCCCCCCACAAAACCATTTTACTGGGAGCTAATACAGATACCATGTTGTTCCATGGTTCAGTCATATCGAGCACTATTGTCCAATTGTTACTGCAGTCAGTTTCAAAACATTCTCTTCCTTCTTGATCTCTTTGATATAAGCTTCCCTTTACCCCCATCTCTTCCACTGTAGCCCCCAGAAACCCTTATTCTATGTTCTGTATCTAGAGATTCATCAATCCTCGGTTTCATTATACTGAAAAATATGAAGCCATATAGCAGAAATTCAAGAGGGTTACCCCTAGTGACAAAATACATCTGAGATAAACACCAATATGAAAAAAACACAGAATATATTGGAAACCAGATCTGTCCCAATGTGCATCAAAGTGGGGAATCAAAGGACAAGGTTTTAGCCTACAAGTCAGGTTTGCCATTTTGCTGTACTATAGTCATCCCTCCAAAGCACTTTGATTGGTAGCCCACTTCGTCCCTTCCCTCTATTATAGGTAGAGTGAAATCACCGGAGGCTTACTTCCTGTGTGGATCTCACAAATGTATTTTGGGCTTCCACTGCCATCCATACCCTTTTGCAAATCAGAATCTCACAATTTAGGCTCTGACACTATTCCCTCCTTGGGCTTCAGATTATTTGATTTATAATGTTTGATCACTGATGTTGGTGTACTTCCATGTAGACTTATTTGGCAACTAACTTAAATGACTGTTTGTTTGGAAACAAGTCTTTAAGACCCCAGATGCTGTTTTATCTGATAGCCAGGCACCATCTAATTTCTTCACCACACTTTTCGACAGCACCCATATTTTTCTTGTTCCCTTCCTGAGGGCAAGTATCGAGCAAGGCTATGGTGTAAGAACTATTGTTCTTAAATTAAAAGAAATGTTTTTAAAAGGATACCAAACTATCCTTTTGTTGTGGTATAAATTCTTTTTCGGGGAATTCTTTGAGGAAGGATTACATAGATAAAACACTGTTTTCAGAAGCATATATATATAGACTTACATAAAAAATATGTTGAGAAACAAAATATAAAAAATAGTTGCACATTTTGATTTCTTTAATAAAGGTTTCTATGATTATACAGCAATGCTTTTTAACTTATCCCTATATATATATATGTTAAATTAGTGAATGAATGTTGAAGTTAAAGGAAGAATTCTGTTTTGAGCATAAGAATATTACATTTTGTTAAAATATTATAATTTACTTGTGACATATTTTCTGCTTCTTTTTATAAGCATCCTTTTAGACTCAATACAAAGTTCTCAAACTCTCACTTTATTTTAAAAAAAGAAATAAAGCACTATCGCAAAGCATAATAAGGCGAACTCAGTGAAATGAGATGTGCTTCTATGTTTCTTAGCATGGCCACTCACAAACCATGCAGATAGGCTCCTTTTTACCCAGCTCCAGGTGAGGACTGGCCCAAGAGGAGTCCTCGGGAGAGTCTCTGGTGAACACATATTTCTGTCTACTCTTTCACTGGGTATATGTCCATTCCTGGTTTTCTGAAGCAGTCTCAATGTCTGCATAATGAATCCAGGGAGCTCACCACCTCGTCTTCTGCCCCTCCATGATGTTGCTCCAACGCACTGTGTCTGAAGCAGCATCACAGCCAGCAGCCAAAGTATCAACCAGGCAGTTTCTTCTTACTGCTGTTGTTCAAATTCCTCTTTGTTTTTGACTCTGAGACTTTCATTTCTTATCTTTTCTTACAAGCTAAACTACGCAAGAATACTTGTTAAATTTTATCTATCTTTTGAGGGGCTTTATGGTAGGAGGATTTTCATTTAATCTTATCAGCCATTTTATCAGGTCTTTCTCTTTCGTATTGGTGATTTTTAAACTTTAAACTAAAGTAATTCTTTATGTTTTAGTATAATACAAATAAGTTGATGTATTTTCTTTGTCTAGAACCTTCATGGAGAGTTAGAGCCAGCATCATTTTCCTGGACATATGAAGAAATTAAAGAGGTTCATAAGCGTTGGTGGCAATTGAGAGATAATGCTGTAGAAATCTTTTTAACAAACGGAAGAACCCTCCTGTTAGCATTTGATAACACCAAGGTAAACTCAGCTTCACTACCACATATATGTTTTTAAGTGATCATGTGATCCACGTAACTGTAGTCATATTGATTGTAAAGGTCTAATTTATTTACACCTAAATTCACTGTGAATGAAATCAAATTAAAACTGTTTTAGTTCTTAGTCTTAATTATAATAAATAGAACCCCCGAGTGCTGTAAATGGCTTAGTGCTTGACTAGTAACCAAAGGGTTGGTGATTTAAACCCACCCAGAGGTGCCTCCAGAAAGAGTCTGCTTCTGGAAATCCGCTCCTCAAAGGTCTTCAGAAGCCCAGGAAGCACGCGGTTCTACTCTGATACATATGCATCCCTGTGAGTCACAATAACTGGACAGCAACTGAAAACAATAAAAATTGATAGAACCTTATTATTTGAGGATTATTTTTGTCTTTAAAAATTTATTAAAGCGTTCACACTCTCCCCTGTTTAAAAAAAAGTATTAAAGCCCAGTAACATATTTTTAAAAATGTATTAAAGCTTGCTTCCCCAAAGCATCTAATTGTATGTATAAAAACATTTTGAATGAATAAATGAATGTTGTTGTGTTAAACCGTGTGTGTTCTGACTCATAGTGACCTTATGAGACAGAGTAGAACTGCCCCATAGGGTTTCTAGGCTGAATTCTTTATAGTAGCAGATCACCAGGTTTGTTTGTTTGTTTGTTTTCTCTCTGGAAACTGGTAGCTTATGACTATAGACCTGAGCTTTTAACCGTTGAGCCACATCTGTCTTCTTAAATGAACGAAAAATCCCTCTTCTTACAAATTCCCCTTGCTTGACTTCTAAACTACCACTTTCTGTTAGTTCTTCTTTTAAAACCATGAGCTTTAAAAGCCCGGCGTCTCCTTTTGTTTTTGTTTGTTTGTTTGTTTGTTTGTCAGACTCTTCCTCCTCGGAGTACCCACAACTCATTCCTCAGCCCCTTGTCTTTTCATACAGTCTCATGGCTTTAAATACCACCACCCTTAAAATCTCTGTCTTACAATGCCACCCCCAAAACCTCTTCCCTGGATGCTGAATTTATATATTCACTCTTTATTTGGCACTTCCATTTGGAAATGTAATTGAAACCTCAAGCTTAAATACAGAACTTAACTTCTAATCTTTTCCCCAAAATGACTTTCCAGATTTCTCCATTTTAATTCATGGCAGTGCCATCTTTCTGATTGCAAGGCCCCAAACTGGACATTTTTCTTGATTCCCCTCTCTAATTTCTCATTTACTCTGTCAATAACTCCTGTTGGCTCGCCCCTCAAAATATATCTGGAACATGACCACTTCCTCTGCTACCATCTTGGTCAAAGACACCAACACATCTTGCCTAAACTTTTACAATAGCCTACTAACTCCTTTTTCTGCTGTTTCCCTCACCCCACTTCAGACTACTCTGAACACAGCACCCAACATAGATCAGGTCTGCTAGTCCTCTGCTCCAAAACCCCAGTCACTTCCTGTCGGTCAGTTACAGCCAAAGTCATTAGTAGCCTAATAAGTAGTTTACATCTGTTTACTTTCTGACTTTCTACTTCTATTCTACCATCCTCTTCCTCTCTCTTAACTCCTCTACAGTGACCTTCGTTTCTTTGACTGTATCAGGCAAACCGTGCCTCAGTGCCGTTGCTTTGCACTTCCTGTTCCCTTTGCTTGGAGTGCTTCTCCCATTGGATATTCATGTGACTTATTCTCTAATCAAATATCTCCTCATCAGAAAGAACTTCCTTAACTATATCAAATAGAAACTCACCTCTCCATTTCTTAACTCCTTTGCTTTGCTCTTATTTTCTCCATAAATTTAATAACACCCAACCTTCTCTGCCTCTCCCCAATAGAAGGTCAGGGCTTTGTTAAATGCTGTGGCTCAAGCACCTTTACCAGTACTGATACACAGTAAATAAGTGGAGACCTGGATTTATATCTCAATCCTCCACCAATTAATTATATTGGATAAAAATTACTTCCTTAGGGAACCTGAGATTAGTAGCATGTCCATGATATCATGAGTTCTTTGGGGAAAAAATGCCAGTAAGCCTGAAAGTAAAATCTAATGTTTTTTACTTTTGTTTTTCTCACCATTCCTTTTAGGTTCGTGATGATGTCTACCACAGTATACTAGCAAATAACCTCCCCAATCTTCTGGAGTATGGAAACATCGCTGCTCTGACAAATTTATGGTACACTGGACAAATTACTAACTTTGAATATTTGACTCACTTAAACAAGCATGCAGGTCGCTCTTTTAATGACCTTATGCAGTACCCAGTGTTCCCTTTTATACTTGCTGACTACATCAGTGAAACACTGGACCTCAATGATCCATCCATCTACAGGTAAGGAAAAGCATCACCTTTGGGTGTCATCCATTGGTTTTTTTGTGAAAACTTGCAAACATGCAACCCCCCAAAATGAATATATATAAAGAAACAAAAACACCAATCATCTCAATTCAACAGTTAAGAAAATGTTAGCCAAATTTAATCATCTCTCTCTTTCTTTGGTTTTTTTCTCTCTACTCCAGGTATATTACAGAATCTTTGTTTATTAGACCTCTTTCAAGAACTAGTAGAACATTTTTCTCACCCTCAAAAGGTGAATTGGCAAAACAATAAACAAATTTAAGCATTTTGTTACTTGAGTTAGATCAATGTTGCCTTTGGTTGTTGAGTCTCTAAAGGTATAGATCTGGAGTATACTTTTTTTTTTCTTTCCTTTTCATATTACTTGTTGAAAGGTCTGGGTCATTTGTCCTGTAGAATATTTGATTGTTTCCCATAGTAATAGTCCTATAGCCTGTGTATTACCTGAAAATTTGACATTCGGTTCAAAGGTTTGATAAGATTCAGGTTCAGTTGTTTTGTTTTTTCAGTGTCAATTCTTTTTGACAAGAATACATAACTGGTGGTGTAAACTTCATATCACATAATATCAAGAGGTGTATAAAACTCCTTTCTAAATGACAGTACTACAGCCCTAGTGGTACAGGGGTTACACATTAGGCTGTGATCCACAAGGTTAGCAGTTTGAAACCAACAGCTCCTTTGAGGAAGAAAGACAGGGCATTCAACTCCCTTAAATAGTTAGTCTTGGAAATTCCCAGGGTCAGTTCTACCCTGTCCTGTAGGGTTGTTATGAGTCAGCATTGGCTCAATGGCATTGAGTTTGTTTTTTGTTGTTGTTGTTGTTCTTTTTTTTTAGTTTAAATGATGTTACATTTGATCTGTGTGCTCAGGTTCCTGTTAAACTTTTACTTAATGGTTTATCCATTGGTATTATTGTTTGAATTGATTTTTTATTAGGAATTGCAAGATAATAATTTATGACTCTCTCATTTGTTCTATATTGATGAGAATATAATATACAAGGTGAGCCTGGGATATTTGGTTGCATCAAGAGAGCAAAGGAGTCATCTGAAGGGTTCAGGAGTCAACTTGAAATGGCTCGCACTGGCCAAAGAGAATAGTAACTACAATGGAGAACATTCAAAATATATATGTTATGATATGATAAAAGTATATCATAATGGAAATTTTTTAAAGGCCCCAAACTAACAAAACTGATTGGTCACCACAGGAGATGACCAAAACACTAATTCCCTATTTAAAATTTGGCAATTAAAAGGAAAGAATGAAGTATTTATCTCACCTTTCCTGAATGAACTGTATTTTAGAGTCACCAAAGAGCCCTAGATGTTGGGAAAATATTCTGTTTATTTAGTATTATGAGTACTTTTTTAGTTTAAATCAAAATTGATTCCAAATATTCCACTATTTGTAGAACAGTGTTTTAGTTATAACCATTAAAAGTAGGCTTAGTTCATGTAGATAGCAAGAAATCAGATTTACATCTTTACATCTTACAACTCCTGTAAAGATGTACATTAAAAGGCCAGACTTAGTGTCTGCTAAAGACTAGAAATCCTGTGGCTCTGGCCCTTAGTGATCCTCCATCCTGGAATTGAACTTGCCCCAATTTTCAATCAAACAATAGATCGGGCTATAACGTGAGAATTAACACATGGTATGTATGCCTTCCTTTGAATAACCATTCAAGAACAAAATAGTGGCATTTGCGCAAGGATAAAGTTCTGAAAGCAAGAAAGGTTAGGAAAGAATGGAAAATGAAACCAGGAAACAAAGGGAGAAAGTGGGTCAAGTAATGTATTGTGGGGTGGCAATTAATGATATGAAGCAAATTTTTCATAAATAGTTGAATGGAAAACTGATATTCTCTGTACCCCTTCACCCATTTTACAATAAAAAAAATTTTTTTAAGAAGACCCTTAAAAAATTATACTAGTGTGTTAGTCTGGGTTGAATAGAGAAACAAATTCATAAACACTCATGTGTGTAAGAGAGAACTTTATATCAAAGAGCAATTGTACATTAAGAAAACATCCCAGCCCAGTCCAGAACAAGTCCATAATTCTGATATTACCCCATATCTCGATACTAGTCCATAAATTCCTCTTCAGACTGACGCAGACATGCAATGACAGTGAATGCAGGAAGATCACAGGCCAGTGGGTAGAAAGTCTTGTGGATCCAGTGGTGATGGAAACATCTCAGTGCTGGCATGGGTCTGCACATGGCTCCTCCAGCTTCAGGGCTCTGGCTCCATCAGTGTAGCTCCATGTGACTTGTCAATAGGAGTGCCTCGCAGGGAGTGAGTGTTATGGCCTCCTGTGAGCTAGTTACCTCCTTCGGGCCTCCAAATGAAGGCATCCAACTGCAACCTGATTGATAGGCCAGGCTCCATCCCTTCCTCAAGTTGACAGATTATGTAATTGCCACACTTAGTTTTATGCATTTGTCAAATTCAGACATGTTTATATACTGTACTGGATATTTAAACATTTTCTACAATGCTGGTATAAGTAGGAGGAATCCTTGTGGCGTCATGTGGTTTAAGCTTTGGGCTGTTAACTACAAGGTCATTCGTTCAAAACTAACAGCCTCTCCATGGGAAAAAGATGAGATTTCTATTCCTGTAAAGACAGTCTTAGAAACCCATGGGGACAGATCCACTCTGTCCTATAGGGTCACTCGAAGTCAGAATCAACTTAATGGCAGTGAGTTGATATAAATAAAAATAGCCTTTCTGGGAAGAAATTTAACAACATCCAAAAAACTCTTTAAGTGTGCATATTCCACGTATATTCCATGTCTACCATTCCAGACGTATGTGTTCCCAGTAGGTTTTATGAAGGCAGGACCAAATCTGTGTGGCCCATTTCTTGGAACACTGTCTGGTCTACTGCAAATATTTTGTATGCTTAGAAACACTTAGAAACAGCATACTTGCTTAACAGTAAGTAAATTGAGTGTTTTTTATATGTTACAGCTATGAAAGGCTCTGTTATGAAAGTACAAGGAGGCTTCAAAGTTCATGGAAAAATCAACTGAAATATAATGGAATTTTCTCACAAACTTCTTGACATCCCCTCATGTAGGTTGTCAAAACCCACTGCCATAAGGCAAATCCAAACCAAAAGAACCCCGCAAAAAAAGAAAAACGCCCCCCTTTGGATTTCTGAAATGGCAAATCTCTATAGGAGCAGACAGCCTCATCTTTTCCACAGAGTGGCTAGTGGATTTGAACTACCAACCTTTCAACCCACCACACCTTTGGGTTCCTTCATAGAAGTGACCCCCACCAAAATGCTCAACCTACTGCCAGTGAAACAATTCCAACTCACAGGGCCCTGCATAGAGTTTCTGAGACATATCATATTTTAAATTATTTTCTTGGGGGCTTATATACATTTTTTCTGCTGAAAAATCAGAATTTGTTTTTTTGAAAAATCAAAAATTACACATGAACAAAAATAATAAAGAATCATCCTCAGTACTATCATCTGGAGGTAAAACATTTTAGAATATACCATCCCAGATGTTTCTTTGCTTACCAGTACATGCATGTTTATTTTTCTAATGTAAAGTGTTTTCCATGCTTATAACATACATGAGGAGCCAGCATGGCATGATGGTTACTCATTGAACTGCTAACCAGAAGGCCAGCAGTTTAAAAACACCAGGGACTCCATCAGAGAAAAATCAGGCTTTCTATTCCTATAGACTTCCAGTCTCAAAAACCCACACAGGCAGTTCTACCATGGCTTCTAGGGTCACTAGAATAAATTGGACGGCAGTGAGTTTGGAGTTTGGGGATAACATGCATGAAAGCACCTTTAATGGTGCTAGAGGTGAGCCTTTAGTGGGCTAGGTGTTGAGCTGCTACAGTCCTTGACAGTGCGACCCACCAACTGCTTCTTCCGAGAAAGGCGAGGCTTTCTGCTCCTGTGAGGGTCTCAAACAGTTTCCTCCTTTTTTAGAGAGAGACATTCATGCCTCATCTATAAAAGTGTTTTCACTTACAACATTTTTAGGACTAGAAAGGCCACAAGAGCAAAATCGGGCTGCTAAGGGCAATATCACCAATTTCAGAATCCCTGGGCAGATAGAAAGTAGCCCCAGGATGTCATAAATGTACACACTCAACTACTGACCAAAAGTCTGGTGGCTGCCCAGAGACACCCTAGAAGAAGGGCCTGGGAAACAGCATCAGTTTCTAAAAGGCCGTGGCTTTGCAAACCCTATGGAGCACAAGCCTGCTCCAGAGACATGAGGGCACCATGAGCCAAACTCACCTTGACGGCAGCTGGTTTACAGGTAAATGGTAGCTCATTAAAAGACAGGGTATGTCAGCATTTGGCTAAGCAGACATGGTTTGATGTATTGAAATAAGGACAAATCTTAATATTGGTCTAAGAGCCAGTGATTGAAACTCCATGCAGTCCCATTCAGCCAAGGGAAGCCCACCCTTCACCATCAGTTCTTTTTTCTCTTGTTCTTTAAAGTGCCTCACAGGAATGAGATTTGATTCTATGGCTTGTGAAAGTGAAGCTTCAATCCCGAAGGTGTTAGGGTTTTTTGGTTTGCTTTTTTTTTTTCCCCCCTCTCTAATACCATGTGAATGCCACCATGTGAATGCCACCACAGGAACTTTGATGGTGTAGTGGCTAAGCATTGGACAAAGTCAGCACTTTGAAACCGGCAGCTGCTCTGAGGGAGAAAGACAAGGCTTTCTATTCCTGTAAAGGATTTCAGTCCTAGAAACTCACAGGGGGCAGTTCTACCCTGCCCTATGAGTCACTATGAGTTAGAATCAACTTGATGGCAGGGAGTTTGTTCTTTGTTTGAATGCCTTGTCACTACCACTACAGACACAATTGCACGTATGCACATATGTTTCACACTTCTCACACTGGTATCACTCAACATTTGCTAGAGGACAAAACCCTTTTTGCAGTATTTACATCCCAAAACTCAACTTGCTCATTTTAAGCATGTGTAATTTCTTCCATTTTTACTCAATAGCTGACTAATCCTGTAGTGTCTCCTCATGCTCATAATTTTCTCTCCAAACTGCCCCTCATTCTTTACTGTCTCACCAGTTGTAGAGTTTGGAAGACAGGAATTGCCAGGGCACTGAGGAAGCAGTTGAGTAGGGGCAGGTGGGAGAGCACCTATTCTTACATAGGTTACTCACCAGTCAGAAATTACTAATACATCTGTGAATCTGAATGCTTTTTAGCTGAGAAGCAACGTGTGAGGGAGTGACTTTTTGCCCAGTATTGTTGAACATGTGTTAGAAGAGCATTTTGTTGATCAAGTGTGATTTATTGATATACAGGGTACAAACAGCTAGCCAGCTTTTCTCTGGCCATGTCAAAATTTTAATTTTCTCTATCAACTTTTCCTTTGTAGAAATCTCTCTAAGCCTATAGCTGTGCAGTATAAAGAGAAGGAAGACCGTTACGTGGACACATACAAGGTAGCTTTAGTCCTCCTTTGTCCTTGCAAAATGAAAAGTGTGATGTTGTGTGCACATGTGTTGTGTCTCATTTTAAGTTGCAGTGTTAGTCGTTCTGCTTTTCCCTTTTCAAGTATCATTATATCACTTTGGGTTGATTTTCTGAAAATGTTTTGCACAAAAGAATCGCACTTTTTATGCCATAAAGTGAAAACTATTAGTCCATTATGAAATTCAAATATGAGTATAAGTCAAAAAGTATTTCTATAAAATCACAGAAACCTTTATTAAGCAAAAATATCAACATGTGAGGCTCTTCTTTCTTGACCTATCCGCCATCTAAGTCTGTGAAGGTTCCCCCTCTAACCCACCAGCCCCTCAGCTGGAGAAATTTGAAACTGTAAAGATACTTAGTCTTGGAAACCCTGTGTAGTGTTTTGAGTCAGAAAGGTCTCAGTGGCAGTGGATAGGTGGATTTAACCCTTCCCAAAAGAATGCTATGCTTTTCAATTTATACCATATCAAAACGGCAGTTTGGGCATGCTCGAAGAACTCAATCGTATTTCTTTTAAATGTTCTTTTAGATTTAGTAATAAAAAGTCAGAAGGGGCAAGAAAAGAGCTTGTAGGGTCCATGGAGTAAGATTTCCCCACAAAACCCCCCTAGATAGTTCCTGCTACCCTTAAGAATGGACAATGCAAACAGGAGCATTGTCATGATGTGTGTGTGTTGGGAGCAGATTCGGTGGAAGGGTGTCAGCTTTCCTAGCCTCTTTCTCACAATAGTTTCCAGTTTTCTTAAAACTTCTTCCTAAAAAAGAAAAAAAACAACAACTTCCTAATAAGCCCCTTTGATTGTTCTGTATCTTTTTACAAAATCTATCAAGACTCCCCCTTTGGATTTCAGAAACTAATCATTATAATCTGCTAAACTAGCCTCTCGGCCTTGAAAAATCTTGCCCTGCAGATCCTCCTGGAATCTAGTTTGATTGGACCTTTTTGGAAGTTATCCTAGTGACACTGTATTATTGAGAGGAACTTGTCGGCAACCATCCACTCATCACAGAGACATATTTGAAAAGGTTTCTTTTGCAATAAATCCAGGCATGTAAGAATTGAAACCCTAATAGCAATACTTTTTGACTTATCCTCCTATAAATCATTCCTTATAAAAATTGCAAGGAATTCTAGGGCTTGCTATTCATATCCCTAGTATTATATGTTGTAATAGTCTGGGTACTTTGGAGAAACAAATCCACAGCAACTCATGTATAAGAGAGAGTTTTATGCAAAGAAAATGTGCATCACGAAAACATCCCAACCCAATGCTGCCCAAGCCCACAAGTCCAACATTAACCCATACCCAACACCAGTCCACAAAGTCCTTCACCTCACAAAACAGAGGCAATGATGCCGACTGCAGGAGGAAAGCTGAGTCAGTGAACGTGTAAGCATCTCAGCACTGGCAGGGGTCTCCACATGGCTGCTCCAGCACCCAGGGCTGCATCGGGATAGGTCCATGTAGCTTCTCCTTGGGGATGTCTTGTATGAAGTCAATCTTGCAAGCTGGAACAGGGAACTGCTAAGGCAGCTGCACTCTGGTGCGACCATCACAAAGCAAGAGATCCGAGAACTAGAAAGGCGAGGCTTCACCACCCATTTATCCCTCCGCCTTTCAACCAGCACCACATGTGATTATCGGCCAGGCTGGCACAATTAACTAACTCATATGTATAACAGTATCAATATATTTATAATTTACCGTAGTACCAAGGAGTTTTGCATTGACTTTTTAAACATAAATTTGCTAGATTTTGAAGGATAAAAACAGAAATTTATTTCCTGTTTATGAGAAACTATTATTATTGGGAGTCTGTTGGAAATTGAAGAAAACTCATTAACCACATGCTGCCCATTTCTCTTTATAACAGAATTCAGATAAGAATGGCTAAAGCAGTTTTCTCATATTCAGCACATTATTTTGTATAATAATGTCAGAATCAGCCTTCATCTTAAAACTGTTACTGCTTGATTCTCTTTTGTTGTTAACAATGGGGAATTACTGTGGGAATCAAGAGACGTGACTCTTGAACCTTAATTGCCACATGGCTTTGGTCTCAAAGCCAAGCAACAGCTGTGGAGATGAGAATGGTGAGAGATAGTGAATGTTTGCTGGAACTTTCTATTCTATGATGAGAAAATAGGATTAGTGAAAAAACAAAAACAAAACCTGTGGGGCCCTTTTTTAATCTCTTTATAACTATACTGTAAAGTAGCCACAGAGTATTACATTAACACCTCACAACTCCAATATTGACACATGGCTTTTAGATTTCTTTTGTTTCTATTTCCAAAGAGGTATTCTCCTAATTAGCATTATATCTTGAAACTCTTTTAAAATGCAAAGATCTCTGGTGGTAGTAGCAGCTTTCCTTAGTTGAATGTTGGTCCAGTGGTGGATTTGTATGGAAGAACAGGAGATTAAGGGCCTAGATTACAGGGGTCCTCAAACTACGACCCGCGGGCTACATGTGGCCCGCCGAGGACATTTATCCAGCCCCCGGGTGTTTTTGCCCCATTTTGTTTTTTACTTCAAAATAAGATATGTGCAGTGTGCATAGGAATTTGTTCGTAGTTTTTTTTTAAACTGCAGTCGGCCCTCCAACGGGTGTGAGGGACAGTGAACTGGCCCCCTGATTAGAAAGTTTGAGGACCCCTGAGAACTTCTTGCTTCTCCAGAGGTCAGACCTTCTCAGAGCATAAAATGAAAGGCTTTCAGACCCTCAGGCTGATTGTGGTCTGGGCCGGAGTGAAGGATAGGCTTTGGAGTATGGCACTGCAGAGGGTACTGAAGAAGAAACCATTAGGGTGATTTCAGCCTGACCTAGGGCACAGTCTCATGGATTTTGCTCTGATCCTCTGTCCCATCAGTACTTGGAAGAAGAATACCGCAAAGGAGCCCGAGAAGACGATCCCATGCCACCTGTGCAGCCGTATCACTATGGCTCCCACTACTCCAACAGTGGGACTGTGCTCCACTTCCTGGTCAGGATGCCCCCTTTCACAAAGATGTTTTTAGCCTATCAAGGTAATGTTTTTCACTAACTACCTAAAACAGTTTTTTGTGTGCATGTTGGGGGTGGGGTGATGAAGCTAATGTTTGCAGGACTTTCCTTTTTATTCTTTGTGAAGTTTGGCTTTGGGAAACAGTCATCTTTTAAAGTGAATTTTGTATTAATTATGATAGTAGCAATTATTTCAAATCACATAAGTTAGCTTTGGGACCTAAAAGAAGAGAATGTGGTTGTAAATAGGTGCCATTGAGCCAGGACAGCAGAACAAAGCACTGCTCAGTCTTGTGCCGGCTGCACAGTCATTGCTGTGTTTGAGCCCATTATCTCCGTCTCTGTGTCAATCCATAATCCTCTTTTTCACCAATCCTCTCCTTAACCAAGCCTGTCTTTTACAGAAATTGGGCTCCCGGTGATACCATGTGCAAAGTAGTTGAGATAAACTCTCACCATCCTAACTGTACTTCTTCCAAGAAGTAGATTTGTTTGTCCTTCTGGTACTATATGATGTATTCAATATTCTTTGCCAGCGTCATAATTCAGAGGCATCAGTTCTGTCTTCCTCATTCATTACAGTATGTTATTTTAACTTATTTTGAATAGGTAGTTAGTAAGAGAGCCACACTCTGGCACCTTCACTGTAGTAACTTTTTAATTAATAATCTTCTACTCAACATTTTAAGAGGCCAACGTGAAGATGACTTAGACAGAAGAGCACTTACTGACTTGTGTCCAAAATAGGACCATTCTGACCTATGAATTTTAATGAGAACTGGCATGTTAACTCTGTAGGTGCTCATCATGACATCCAGGGTCCTTTGTGGAATCATTTATTCAGCCCTTTTTGAACTTCTTTATATAAAAACTCATATGCAATCTCTGGAGGAATGAACATCTATCTGTTCTCTCTACTTCATCTACAAAAACGACTTTCTGATCTTTGTTCCTCTGTCAATACACGGGACAAATTATCCACAGGATAGCTTTTTTAAAGTTTAAAATGGTTGTATTGCCTCCTTTCTCAACCTCAGTCTTGGTTTCCCCAAACTAATTAGCCTTATTTAGTTTGACATCAACCTGGCAGCCTCCTGTGTGCAGTCTTTACTCAGCTGCTACAAGGAATACAAAAAATATAATTAAGACAGTTCTGTGCTTAGTAGTTTCTTAAAATGCTGTTTTTAAAATAGTGCAATGTTTTCCAAACCTGCCAATAGTCTGGTCATCTTTTTTGACATGTTCTAATTTGTAAATGTCCTTATTAAATCTGACAGCCAGAATAAAAAGTAATATTGCAGATATAGTTGGGCACCACTGCAGTATATAACAGAACTATTTCCTCCCTCTCTCTAAGCAATACATTTCTCTTAATATAGTTCAAAATCCATTTATATAAAACTTCCAAACAAAAATTTCTCTATCTGCTCTCACACATATTTCCATTATACTGTTTTCTTCACTGTATTTATGAATAGATATTAAGAATATAGTCCTCAGACTACCTCACTTCTCTCTGTTTTATCTGATTAGCTTAAAGTTCTTTGTATTGACTTTTGAAATTATCTCTGCATTGTTGTTGCTATGAGTCAGAATTGACTCAAACTCGATGCCAATGGAGTGTGGTTTCTCAACCTTAGCACTTTTAACTTGTGGGGCTGGATAATTCTTTGTTGGGTAGGTGCCCTGTGTAGTGTAGTGAATTTAGCAGCTTCCCTGGACTTAAACCACTGGATGCTAGTGGCACTCCACACTACCACCCCTTCCTCATCACCCCCACCCCCACCCCATCCATTCACTCACTGCCATGGGATTGATTCAAGCTCATAGAGACCCTACAGAGCAGAGTAGAACTGCCTCTGGGTTTCTAAGGCTGTAACTCTTTACAAGAGCAGAAAGCCTCAACTTTCTTCTGCAGTGACTGGTGGATTCGAACAACTGATATTGTGATTAGCAGTCCAACAATAATTCACGACACCACTAGGGCTCTTCCACATAGGACAGCCAAAATATCTCAGATGCTGCCAACTGTCCCTAGGGGCAAAAGTGCTACCATTTTAGAACCATTGGTTTAGAACTTACACGTATTAGATTATAGAAATGTATAGTAGTACTTTAAATTTCTTTAAAAGAAACTACAGAGTCTTAAAATCTGAGCTGTTGACATCCACAGTGTGTTTTTCTTGTTCCACAGTTCAGTCATATCACTTCTAGATAACAAAATTGTGACTCTAAGGTAGCCTTATGAAATTACTTTTATTGTTTCTGAGGTATATGAATGCCACTAACATTTTCTCCTAAGTTTATAGGTTTTTCTTTTCAATGACCCTCCCTATTGGCTGAGGAAAAATTATTATAAACTTGATATCTTTCTCCTTTTTCTAATTTAGTAGCCAGCCAATGCTAACTGCTTTATTAGAAGGAGTAAGAAAGTACGCAGAAGTGTTCATTGTCAGACTAAGGCCTGGAGACAATTAGTATATCCTTTTAGGAGTTCCCCTGGCTTGATGCTAACGATTTTCATTTTAGTCCCCAAATTAGAACTTAAGTTCGCCTTTAAGCAAGTGCAGAGCAGTATCAGTCAGTGAAACACTACGGATCCTTTCAGAGATGGCCTGTAGATATATTTAATAGTTGGGCCTTGGACTGTTTACAGAAAAGAGACTGGGCCAAAAATCAATTCTTGATTAATAATAATCTACCCCACAAAAACCCAACAAAAGAGTAAGTATGCTTACTTTTATTTTTTTTTCACTTTGCTATTTTTGTTTAATAAAGGTTTCAATGATTGTGTAACAATTCTTTTTTTACTTATCCATGAATGCCTTTTATTAAACATAAATGGGATCTATTCTACAAATTGCATTGCTTTTTTTTTTTAGTGCACATAAAGTCTCTTGGAGATTAAATTTTTTAGTACATATACATCTTTTGAAAAGGTGGCATAGTACTATTTCAGAGTATATATATGCAAGCTATTTAGACCACTGTCTTGGGAATAAGCTTAGTTTTATTTTTATTCACAGAAAATTTTACTCAGTTCTTTAGCCTCAGTTAAAACATATAAATAGCAATCCTCCAAAAAAAATTTTGGAAAGAAAAAAGTGGTCCTAACAATTAAGAGTGATGAAATCATTTTGTCTCCTGTGAGGGCATAATAATTTTGCTACGTGAGTGTACTTTTTCTTATTTAGTCATTCAGAAATATGTCATTATTGAGTACCTATTATGTGGTACAGCTTGTTTGTCATCCTGTGGTGTTATGTGTTGCTGTGATGCTGGAAGCTGTGTCACTGGTATATTAGCAGGGTCACCCACAGTGAACAGGTTTCAGTGGGACTTCCAGACTCAGAACAGACTACAAAGAAGTCCTCAGCTCCCCACTTCCGAGGAAGAAGTAACTGAAAACCTATGCGTAGCTTTGAAACATTGTTAGATACTGAAGCAGAACACTGTCGGACATCATGCCAGACAATGGGACCCTCAGATCAGGCACTCAAAATGTGACTGAGGAAGAGATGATTTTTTCAGCGTGGAATCGACCATGCTGACATGAGTCAGGAAAAGCCTTAGGGAGTGGACCCTTGGGACCATCATTTTCTGATGGGGCGTGACTCAGGTAAGGAGGGACAGTTGAATGATGCAGGAAGCCTCAAAGGAAAATGGGGGAAAAAATACACAGAGTCACTATACCAAAAAGAACTAGCCAACATTCCACCATTTCAGGAGGTAGTATATGAGCAAGAATCAATGGTGCTGAAGAAGTTCAAGCTGCACAGAAAGCATTACGTAAAAACAAAGCTCCAGGAATTGATGGAATATCAATTAAATTCTTTCAACAAGCTGATGAAGCACGAGGAGCACCAACTCATCTATGCCAGGACATTTGGAAGACAGCTACTTGGTCAACTGACTGAAACAGATCCATATTTGTGCCCATTCCAAAGAAAGGTGGCCCAACAGAATGCTCAAATTTTGGAACAATATTGATATCACATTCAAGTAACATTTTGCTAAAGATCATCCAACAACGGTTGCAGCAGTACATTTACAAGGAGTTGCCAGAGGCACAGGCTGGATTCAGAAGAGGATGTGGAACAAGTGAATCATTGCTGATGTCAGATGGAATTTGGCTGAAAGCAGAGAATGCCAGAATGATGTTTACTTGTGTTTTATTGACTGTGCCAAGACATTCAACTATGTGGATCATAAACTATAGGTAACCTGAGAAGAATGGAAATTCTAGAATATTTCATTGTGCTAATACGGAACTTGTCTGTGGATCAAGAGGCAGTAGTGCAAATGGAACAGGGGAATATTGCATGGTTTAAAACAAGGAAAGGTGTGTGACACAAATCAAGGATTTCAACCTTTAGTATGGATTATAACTCAATGTAAAACAGACCCAAATCCTCACAAATGGACCTATGGGTAACATCATGATGAATGGATAAAAGGTTGAAGTTGTCAAGAATTTTTTCTTGCTTGGATCCACAGTCAATGCAACAGTCAAGAGATTAAAAGATGGGCTGCTTTATATAAATCTGCTGCACCAGGTTCTTTAGAGTATTGAAAAGCAAAGATGTTACTTTGAGGACTAAAGTGTGCCTGACCCAAGCCTTGGTTGGACATGGAATAAAGGCTATCGAAGAAAAATGAATACAATTGAATTGTCTTACTGGAGAAGTATATTGAAAGTAGGCGTAGACTGCTTAAAGGGCAAACAAATCTGCCTTAGAAAAATTAAGGCAGAGTACTCCTTAGAGGCATGATGGCTAGACTTCCTCTTATCTTACATAATTTGGTCCTGTCAGGAGAAACCAGTCCCTGGAGAAGGACATCATGTTTGGTAAAGGAGAGGTGAGGGAAAAAGAGGAAGGCCCTCAGGAGCGATATTGATACAATGGGCTCAAGCATAAGAGCAATTGTGAGGATGACTTAGAATCGGGCAGTGTTTCCTTCTGTTGTGCAAAAGGCCACTATGGGTCAGATACAACTCAACAGCACCAACAGCGATGACGTCATATGGTATGTGGTAATGCACCACCTCCTGGCTTTTGTAGAGCTTTCATTTCACCAACAGAGACAGATAGTAGTCAATTAAATAATATCTAGTGACATGAATTATGAAATTATAATATAGATTTAAAATCTTAGAATAAGATTTCATAATTTATAGAAATAGTTCTCTTCAAGGACACAAATAATCTCATTTAAAGTCTGAGTGAGCCAAGTGAACATTATTTTAAACCTTTTAAGTAGCAAATGTAACTTAATTATGATAGACTTCACGTGGGATCAGGGTTTTGTATTTTAATTGTACTATTTTTATTTCTTTGTAGATCAAAGTTTTGACATTCCAGACAGAACCTTTCATTCTACAAATACAACTTGGCGCCTTTCGTCTTTTGAATCCATGACTGATGTGAAAGAGCTCATTCCAGAATTCTTCTATCTTCCAGAGTTTTTAGTTAATCGTGAAGGTACAACCATAGATTGTTTCAAATGTGTACCCTTGAGGTTCCTTATTTTATAAATTTTCCAAATTAAATTTTGCAAGTCCTAAAATTTGTGTTCCCAAATAAGGAATAGCTTTATTTAGTATCTAAGTAATTTTATTTAAAATGAGCTTGGGGAATTTATGTATTTTTATGGAACTAAATATACCCCCATTGTAACTGTTAACTATTAAGTACTTATAAACATGGACTTTAATTTTATAACAGAAATTGCTTTATTTTCTGATTATAAACTTATTACCATATATACTTGAGTATAAGCCGAGTTTTTCAGCACATTTTTTATGCTATTTTTGTGGTAAAATTAGGTGCCTTGGCTGATATTTGGGTCGGTTTACACTCAAGTATATATACTATATTTTTAAAAGAATTTATTGAAATTAAAATACAAGTAAACCAAAGTTTTAACAATGACTCTCTGAGAATGAAAGAGAAATTAATAAAATACTCTAACTAGAATTATCTGACAACCAGAAGGATAAAAAAAACAGTTGCCTTCAAGTCAATTAACCTATGTGTGTGAGAGTAGAACTTGTTCATATGGTTTTCAGGCCTTTCTTCTGCAGCACCTCTAGGTGAACTTGTACCTCCAAACTGATGAATAGCAACTGAACAGATTAACTATTCGCACCCCAAAAACTCCACCAAACGTTTAAAGTCAAATATTCTATACTGCCAGTGACCAACAATCTTAACCAACCTTACCGTTTTTTTAATAGAAGGTCATTTAAACCTTTGGGTGTGTTTTTTCCCTTTTTGGGGGGGAGAAGGGTTTGTTTTCTACAGTATCTGATTTCCTATTTTATGTGAGCCTTAGAAATATATGGAATTAAGAATGATCTTTAAGGAAGTTAGTGTTGGGCACTAGCTGCCATCTCTGGAGTTGTGTGAAGAATCACTCATAGGCCCTTGCTGTTGTTACCCTGGGGGGTGTTGCCTAGTTGCCCACGTGAGAACTGTCTCAGTCAAATATCAGCATCTGTAATTTGGAGAGAAGAGCGCTGGTGGTGCAGTGGTTAAACGTGCAGCTGATAACGAAAGGGCAGTGGCTCAAACCCTCAAGCTGCTCCACAGGAGAGAGATGGGGCAGTCTGCTTCTGTAAACATTACTCTTGAATAGTGTCACTGTGAGTCAGAATCAACGTGACAGAAATGAATTTGGTTTGTTTTTTAGTTAATTTGGGTTTCCTTTCAATATGGGACTCATATTCAAATCTGCTTATTATCTCTTTCACAGCTCTCCTTAATGTATCTATTGCTGCATAGCAAATAACCCCAACACTTAATGACTTAAAATAATGAAGTAATTTTCACAGATTTTGTAGTTTAGACATTCAGGGACAGCTCAGCTAGCTTTGAGCTCAGGGTCAGACATGAGATTGCATTCACATTGGCCGGAGCTGGAACAGCCAGGAGAATTGAGCAGCGCGAAGTGGTGGGCCATTTTCCCTCTTCATGTACTAGTAGCGCTTGTCCATGTCATCTCTCTGTAAGAGCTGGTTTGGATTTCCTCGTAGCACTGTGACCTTAGACATTCCTATTTGGCAGCTCAGATTTCGAAGGTGAGTGTCCCAAGAGAGACATGAGCAGAAGCTGCATGACCTGTTCAGGGCTACCCTCGGGGTCACCCAGTATCACTAACACTGCATTCTGCCCATTGAGACAGTCACCTGTGCTTGCCTAGGTTCAAAAGGAAAGAGCACAGACCTTACCTCTTGATGAGGGAATGCTAAGATTCTAGAACTTTGACAGGAAATACTATTTCAGTCATTTTAAAAAAATATTATTTGCTGTAATGTACATCATTCCATTTCCTGTTGCATGGAGTCTACAGATGTACCATCTGCCTTTTCTGACTCAGCCCTGTGACTCTTCTATAGGATAACTGCCTAGTTGTATGAGATGATCCCCTTCACTCCCCCTAGAGTCTTAGATAAGCCCTTCATATATATTTCAAATAATATAATTTCAAACTCTTTCCAAAATTGGTGAAAAAGAGTCTTCCAATGGCTCTCACAAAATCATGAGGTAGGCAGACAAAAATTTAGTATTACCGTAAATACTTGAACAAAAGCCGACCCAAATATCAGCCCAGGCACCTAATTTTACAATAACTGCATTAAAAGTGTGCTGAAAAACTCGGCTTATACACGAGTATATATGGTATGTAGGTTCACTCCATTTTTAATAGGTCTTTATGTTGTTTTTTTCCTGATATGATGTTCAGCATCTCTGTCCATAGAAGGTAATACACAAACTATTCTATTTAAAGATAACTGTTCTTTTAGGGAAGAACTTATTAAACACTTAGGATTTTTTTAATACTAGTAGTAGACTAATGAAACTATTGGTATCATCTCATTTACATCACAGAAGAACCTTCCATTTGATGTATAGCATATTTTTATCCACAAGAGTGCTTAGTAGAAAGGAAGTCAAAACAGCCCTATAGCTTACCAGAAAATTAATGTATTTTGACATTCTAAGAATAAGCAAATTCTGTATTAGATTTTTAAACTATAGAATGTTAGTATTTACTAAGCATAAATATTAATTTGTTAAAATATAAACCACAGTAATTCAGATTTACAATAGAATGGAATATTGCATTTGAAGATTTGATTCGTGGGAATCCAAAAACTAAAGCCAAGGTTACTACCATTGAATTGATTCCAACCCATAACAACCCTAAGGACAGAGTAGAACTGCCCCTTTGAGTTCTGAGGCTGTAAATCTTTATGGAAACAGAAAGCCTTATCTTTCTGCTGGGAGTGAGTGGTGGGTTCAAACTGCTGACCAGGGCTCTGATTAGTGGGAATGTGCAAGGATTGTTTGCTTGTTATTCAACTTATTATCATCAACTTATTTATTGGTAGAAAAATATCAGGTCTCAAATTTAATGAGAATATTATTAATTCATTTAAACAGTAGATGAACAATGGTATATCTTACTTTAAAAGTCAGTTTTTTCTGTTCCTATCTCTAGTATGCAATGAGCTGTTTCACGAGACCTTTTTTGTGGGACTAAAGCATATTTGGTGTGTTAAATATTATTGTTGCTCGTGTCTTTTAGGTTTTGATTTTGGTGTGCGTCAGAATGGTGAGCGGGTTAATCATGTGAACCTTCCTCCGTGGGCACGGAATGACCCTCGTCTTTTCATCCTCATCCATCGCCAGGCTCTGGAATCTGACTGTGTGTCACAGAACATCTGTCAGTGGATAGACTTGGTGTTCGGGTATAAGCAAAAGGGGAAAGCTTCTGTTCACGCCATCAATGTTTTTCATCCAGCTGTAAGTGAAGCTTTGAAAATATCCTGTATTTGTATTAGACGTAGTTGGTATTGTCAGTTGCTGTCAAGCCTATTACAGCTCATGATGAGCACATATGTACAGATTGACAGACAGTGACCTTTAGAAAACAGACTGTTGGTTCTGTCTTTTGAGGACTCTCTGGTTGAGTTTGAAGCACCAACCTTTTGGCTAGTAGTTGATCACTTAACCCTTTGTGCCACTGAGAGATTGCTTATAATAGTTGAGTAATTACAGGGTGGTAACAACACCAAGTAATTTAAAATCAACTTTGATATCCCCATCCAAAGATAACTATTGAAACTACCTTCCATACTTTTTGCTACACATATACAAAGGGGCTTCAAAAAGTTGGTAGAAAAATTAAATTAAACCAAAAGTATCCCCTAAAGTCTTCTTAAAACTAAACAATAGTATGAGTATGGAAGGTATAAATAGGTGAAGGGAACTACACTCATGACCTTATGTGTATTTGGTGGATGATATTTCCATAAAGATTTATATGATCTATAAATATATCTATGTTTATAATAGAGAAAAAAGAGAGCAAATATATATAAATATCTCACCCATAACCAAAAACCTTTAGGGCATCATAGGCATAGAGGACATCAGGCTAATTGGCAAAATATATAGTCAACTATAAATATTATCTGTATTCTGCTTTGGTAAGTAGGGACTGGGTACTTTAAAAAAAAACATATAAACAGCCATCTAAGTTTCAATTATTAGTCTCTGCACATCTGGAGCAAAGAACACTGAAAATAATCAAAGACACATGAGAAAACTTAGTCTAGAAGACCAGTGGACCATGTGAACCTTAGGTAGACTACATCAGCCTAACACTAGATTAACCTGCTGACCGTTCCGAAAAGGATCACAATAGTGGGCATGTATAGAGTGGGAGGAAATGTGGAGCAAAACAAAATAACAAACCCACCAGGTTTAGTGGTCCGATGGAGACTGGTGGAACCCCCACGACCGTGGCCCTGGTCTTCCTTCAGGCCTAAAACTGAACTCACCCCTATGGCTCAACTTTCAATCAAACAACATACCCAGGTCCATAGGGTACAATAATACTAGAGAGATACACACTCCTTAGAACAGTCAACCATCTGAGATCAAAAGGACATTTGTCCAGTGAGAAAGTTCAGAAGGCAGGAATGTATAGGAAAGAAAGGAAATTATAAATGAAGGAAGGAAGTGAGAACAAAGATATGGGGACTACAATCAGTATCAAAATATGTATGAATTGTTGAATGGAAAATCAATTTACTCTGTAAACTTTCATTCAAACCATGATAAAAAGTTGAAAAGAAACAAGAAAAACTAATGTTTTTCTTAACCAGGAAAGAATGTCTGTCTTGAGCACTGTGCTTTTTTTAAGATCTGTGGGATCAAATTGACAACAGCAACTCAAAAGATTAGATAGGCAACAAAGTGCAGATGGGTTAGGAAAGAAGGAAGAATGGAGGAAGAAACTGGGGGAAGTGGCTAAGTGATGAGACAATGAGGGAATTGCAGTAGGTTGAGATGAAACAAATGTGTATGAATTGTGGAATGATCCACTCTGTAAACCTTCACCTAATTGACCGATTGATAGATAGACTGACTGATAGATAAAAGATGAGCTAAGAAACTTAGGGGGCAGCCAGTTAATATTAATAGGAAAAGAGCAACTTGGACAGAGGGTGAGAATGGTTGTACAATCTGGAGAATGTTATCATTGTGACTGAACTGTACATGTAGACACTGTTTAAGTGATGTGTGTTTTACTACATATATTCTCAACAATGATAGAGATTTTTTTAAGCAATTGGGAGCTTGACACTAACTCCAATATAATATTTTCCTCTAATCCTGTACCACTTTTCAGTTACTCATTTGTTAAAAATTATAGTAAAATATACGCACCAGAACATATAATACAACAATGTACATCAGGGGTGTCAAACTGGCAGCCCACAGGCCACATGTGGCCCCAAGGAAATTTTTTGTGGACCACATTGATCTGAAATAAAATGAAAATAGAAAAAATTGTTATGAAGAAAAAAGCACTTAGGGGAGATTGAGGCAATATCGTACACACAATTCCTTCATTACATTTTATTTCAGAGCATCATGGGCCACAAATATTACCTCGGGGGCTGCCTGCGGCCTGTGGGCCGCCAGTTTGACACCCCTGCCCTACATTTACAATGCAGCGACATTGATTATATCCTTCATGTTGTGTAGTCATTTTCACTGTCTTTTTCTAAGGCATTCTGCCATCATTAATGTAAGCCCAACAAGAATCTCCCCCTTTCTACCTCTTTCCTCCCATTTTAACCACTCATGATCTATGGGCCTATTTAGTGAATATTTCACATAAGTGAGATCATAGAGTAGTTTTCCTTTTGTGAATTATATTGCTTCCCATGATGTTTTCTATTTTTTCCCCATGATGTTTTCAAGGTTCATCTGTGTTGTAGAATAATCAGGACTTCATTTCTCTGTATCAAAAGCAAAACCAAACTCACTGCCATTGAGTTGATACAGACTCATGGCTACCCTACAGGACAGGATAGACCTGCCCCTAGGAGTTTCCGAGACTGTAACGACTTACTGGAGCAAAACACCCTGTTTTTTTTGCCTATGAGCAACTGGTGGTTTTGAACTTCAGACCTTGCAGATCATAGCCCAATGTGTAACCCCTATGCCACCAGGGCTCTTCATTCATTTCTCTTTACAGCTGCATAATATTCCATTGTTATACAGCATTTTAGCCATTCCATTCATTTGTTGATAAACATTTTTATATTTTCCACCATTTGGCTATTTTGAAAAGTGTTATACATTGGTGTACAGATTTCTGTTTATATTCCTACTTACATACCTTCAGTCATTCTTATATAAAATACATATGAAATGTATCTACATACTGAAAGATATCTGATAATTTTCACTTTACTTAATTTCCATAGGATTTTGTTGTCATTGTTAAGTGCCACTGAGTCAGCTCCAGCTCACAGCAACCTTATGTACAGTTATAGGACTTCAGAGTTTTAAGAAGGATAT